TTATTAATAATTAATTGGATGATAAAATACTTTTCCTACCCCATCTTCATTAAAAAAATCCCAAATCAGGCAAACAGAATCCTGTGGTTCTCTCTTGTGAATTTACACATGGTGATTCAGTACTGAAACTGCTCTTCGCAAAAGTGGGTGAAGTTTCGATCTGCTTATTTAAGTTTAGCTGTATTATAATAACTCAGTTCTTGCTCTACAACTCCTTAAATGCCTTTGTAAGTATGCATTGCATTCCAAAACCACCTGCCAACAAAAGACAAAGCAAACATTCTTCCTGAGAATCCAAACCAAACTTGTAACCAAAGTTATTTTGATTGTGTTCGTGCCAAAGGTAAAAAAAAGCACTCAATAACACAACTGATAATGAAATATGTTGCACGGTTCATGGTTATTTTCCGCATTGTCACCAAAATGTAACTTCCCTGTCACAGCACTTAAAAGCTGTTGTAGCTGAGGGTAGGCCAATTTAACGAAGCAGGTTGTGACATACCTCGGTATGTTTAAGGGAAAGAGTAACCGCAAAGTGTGATGTGCGGACAGCAGCAACAGTTATAAGACACTTGATTCTGCATAGCTTTGTGGGGTTAGACACGGCACAGCAGGCGGCAGTTTATCAGGATCTTTTATTCCCTGACATAAAACACAAACAAGCCAAAACAAAACACTCTTCGTGAGTGAATCGCCCTGGAGTGCGTTTCCCATACAATGACGTAACTCGATGCTTCACTATCATAGTACGATTCATCGTTGAAGAAATCAACTAGCCACGACTGTTTACCGAAACCATTATTGTCGCAAAGTATTGTACAACCACGTTGGTTTATGACGTCACACACGTGGTGGAGTAATAATTTATTTTAATGAAACTGTTTGAGATTGAATTAATGCTAGATGTTTTGATATAAATTACAGACATGGCATTTGAGGAATATTTTCTCATTTTTCTCAGTTATTTCAATCATCAGATTCAATCATAGGCTCCTTACATAGAGCTCGTTCACACATGCGCAGTCTTCAAAAACGGTGCTTTAAATCTCTTGACAAACTCAAAGATCGACGTAAATGACATTTGTATGTATTCTAAATTAAAGACACGGGTTGTACTAAATGTCAGCTTGTTTATTTTGCTCAACATAAGGATTTATCAAGTCACACATCATGTCATGCAATCTAGAAACTATGCTTCTAACCACAGCTCCCCTCGAGATCGCTCAAACACACAACTTTGCGATGCTGTTTGCGAATGTTCGCTGGAACGATGGTTTCGGGAAACACCGACTCGTGGAACTATGCTGATAACGACGGAACTTGCGACCATAGTTGGCTAACGATGCTTTCGGAAAACGCACCCCTGTTTTCTCTTCCATGCAGTTAAAGGGACCCAAAAAAGGAGCATGAAACATAAATTGAGTAAAAAAAATCACATTAAATAAGAAAATGTAAAACAGAAAACACCTGATAAGACAAATAAGCAGCTGCTTTGGGTGAATTATCCTGGTTATCTCTTTAAAACAAATATGATGTAGGCTACACATCACCATGTGCTCTCATTTCCAAATATTTAGGCAAAAGAAAAAGAAAAAAGAAAAAAAAAAGGAATCAGCATACCTCGAGTAAGCAAGGATTGGGTCAATCAACCAAGAGTGCGGGGTTTGACGGAAGATTTGAATTGAATTGCATTGAAAATCTGTATTTCGAACTATTAAAAAGAAAAAAACACATAAAGGAAATATCAAACAAAAATATATAACAAAATAATATTTCAACATAATACTTATGGAACACTATCAGTTTTCATAATAGTTCAAATCCCTTTCCAACCAATTGGATGCCATTATGATTGCCCGAGCTATATCTGAATTGTTACATGTGTTTTTATAAAAAACTGTGGTTGTTAATCAGAATTGTTTTTGCAAATCTACTGGTCTCAAACCAAAAAAAACAGTAATGTCAGTGGTAACATAATGTAACATATTTTTCAAAGAATCAAATATGTGAACAACAATAACAACTGAAACAAACAACAACAACAACAACAACAAAAACAGATAAAAAAAACCAAACAAACCAAACCAAAACAGGCACAATGATGTGCCACTTACATGACATTTCACTGAATATTTATTATTTTTTAAATTACTTCTATGTTCCATTAAAGCCAGCTTGTAATTAAATAATTAAATTAAGTCTGTCAATTTATTAAAATATTTACTTATGATTATTCTAACGACTTTCTTTGTAATTACTTAATTCTGTTCCTTTTTACAGAAAGAAAACTAATAATATGTTAAAAAAAATGTTGGTGGGGGGTGAATATAGGTATATATTTATATAAAGACACCAGACAGAGGTAGATTTGTGTAACAGTGCATATTTAGGCAGTAGAAGTTATATAAAATATAACTCAAAAAAGGTCAAATGACCAAAAATAGTAAAATAATATTATACACATGACTTGGAGTGAAAATCTAAATATAAAAAGCAATAATTACAATAAAGATTAAAAAAGATTATCAGGAAGTCAAAAGAAACCTCAAAGTTACTTCCTTGAAATGACTTTCATAGTCCTTGCTAACAGAGTTGTGGGAGGATCCCTTGAGAAGTAATTCAGTTGCTCACTTTCATTTGAACATGCCTTCAAGAAGAGACCCTTCCCGCAATGCCCTTCAAGGGTTCAGATACTGTATGCTCATATGGCGCTTTTCCACTACACAGTACCAGCTCGCCTCGGCTCGACTCGACTCGACTCGCCTTTGTTTGGTTTTCCACTGTGTAAAAGTTGTACCTGTACCTGCTTTCGGGTACTTTTTTTCGTACCACCTCCGGCGAGGTTCTAAGCGAGCTAAGGCGATACTAAAATGTGACGTGAAAACAATGCCGACTGCTGATTGGTCACAGAGAATCTGCGTCATCATTGCACACGCCAGATGGAGTATCCAGAATAACCCCGCCATTTTTAAATAGTTTGGCCAGAGATATAAGCCGTTTCTCAATGTCAAGGAAGGATCCTCGGAAGCCGGAATTTCGAGGATGCTACGTCATCGACATCCGTCGAAGGACTGTTCCAATGTCGAGGATCCTCAGAATTTCGACCAAGGACTGAGTCCTTCGTTCGGAAAATATCCCATACACAGGAAAGGATGCATATGTGTAGACTTCGCGCTCTTCGCGCTCTCAAATCGCCCACAATCCTATGCGCGTAGCTTTGCTATCTTGTTAAAAAAATACACAATGTCGGACGTTAGCGGAGTCGGAGCAATAACGGGGCAATATGCTTTCAAATGTAAATATTTACGTTACCATACATTTGTTATAACCGTCATATAAGTAAAGTTTAACGTTTAAATGCCAGTACAAATTACTACCGTATTGATATTACAAATTATACAAATATATACTAATTTAATACGTTATTGATGGGTAACTGAACCGGACCTGTCCTTTTAACAATTGTTAGCTTGTTTGCCGTCACCAGCATTTCTTTTATAAATAACTACTTAAGTTGTACAAAGTAATGTAACGTTAATATTATACCATTCGGAGCGTTATTCATAGCGTTCTCGTCTTTTTTAGCAGGGACCAATGGACCTTTTCACTGACGTAATGATGCAATAACGTGCACTTGCTAGCCTGTTCCATTTACGTGTTCTCCGAATGCTAAGAGGAGCCTCGCCTAGCCTCTGAAGGAAATGACTTGGAAGGACGAGTCCTGCCAAGGAAGTATCCTTGACATTGAGAAACACCTTATAGTTACTAAACTTACTACTATTATTATGGCAACTCTGGTAATGGAAAAGCGCCATGGATTGCTCTTTGTCTCTCTCATTGTGAAGTATTGCAGTATTGTAATATATATATTATATATATATATATACACCCACAATTGTTCTTGAACCATCAGTATTAGAATCTGTGTAGTAAAACTTTCTCCAGACTGGAAGCCTCATGATTAAATTTACATGAAATTTACATAAACAATACATTTACATAAACAATACATGAAGCTTTTGTGCTTCATGTATTGAAGGAGAATTTCTGTCCTTCCTCCAATGCCATTAAGCTGTTTTATTAAGGGCAAGTGAAGTTGAGGAGGTGTTCATGATTTGATTTTTAACCTGATTTTTAAGTGTTTCAGTGTTACATGTGAAAATTACAAAAATAATACTTGTTAGTGCTTGGTTAGAGAGATCAACAATGCATCTAATTCATTTTAAATCATGTTAAAACAGAGTTCAACAATTCAAAGATAGGTCATATGGTTCACTTCCACTGTCTATTTTTCCAATATTAGTCACTATTGTCTGCCTCTGCAAACTTATGCCTTTCTTCTATTTTATCTATTAACACTTTATTGTTAATTTATTTATTTTACATCACTAGCTGCACAAACAACAACACAAGGAAATACATCTTTAGATCAAACAGATAATTCTACTATAGCAGTAATTGACTCTGCTCCAACAACAATTGCTGAACCTACACCAACTGAAACCACATCTACAACTGAACCAGAAACATTAACTACGTCAGCATCTACATCTGAATCAACGACAACTGAAACCACATCTACAACTGAAACGGAAACATCAACTATGCCCACATCTACATCTGAATCAACGACAACAGCTGAATCAACAACGGTAGATCAACCAACAACAACTGAAACCACAACTCAAATGGAAACATCAACTATGCCGACATCTACATCTGAATCAACGACAACAGCTGGATCAACAACGGTAGATCAACCAACAACAACTGAAACCACAACACAAATGGAAACATCAACTTTGCCCACATCTACATCTGACTCAACGACAACAGCTGGACCAACAACAGTAGATCAAACAACAACAACTGAAACCACAACACAAATGGAAACATCAACTATGCCGACATCTACATCTGAATCAACGACAACAGCTGGATCAACAACGGTAGATCAAACAACAACAACTGAAACCACAACACAAATGGAAACATCAACTATGCCGACATCTACATCTGAATCAACGACAACAGCTGGATCAACAACGGTAGATCAACCAACAACAACTGAAACCACAACTGAAACGGAAACATCAACTATGCCCACATCTACATCTGAATCAACGACAACAGCTGGATCAACAACGGTGGATCAACCAACAACAACTGAAACCACAACTCAAATGGAAACATCAACTATGCCGACATCTACATCTGAATCAACGACAACAGCTGGATCAACAACGGTAGATCAACCAACAACAACTGAAACCACAACTCAAATGGAAACATCAACTATACTCATATCTACATCTGAATCAACGACAACAGCTGGATCAACAACGGTAGATCAACCAACAACAACTGAAACCACAACTCAAATGGAAACATCAACTATACTCATATCTACATCTGAATCAACGACAACAGCTGGATCAACAACGGTAGATCAACCAACAACAACTGAGACCACAACTCAAATGGAAACATCAACTTTGCCCACATCTACATCTGAATCAACGACAACAGCTGGATCAACAACGGTAGATCAACCAACAACAACTAAAACCACAACACAAATGCAAACATCAACTTTGCCCACATCGACATCTGAATCAACGACAACAGCTGGATCAACAACAGTAGATCAACCAACAACAACTGAAACCACAACACAAATGGAAACATCAACTTTGCCCACATCGACATCTGAATCAACGACAACAGCTGGATCAACAACGGTTGATCAACCAACAACAACTGAAACCACAACACAAATGGAAACATCAACTTTGCCCACATCGACATCTGAATCAACGACAACAGCTGGATCAACAACGGTAGATCAACCAACAACAACTGAAACCACAACACAAATGGAAACATCAACTTTGCCCACATCTACATCTGACTCAACGACAACAGCTGGATCAACAACGGTAGATCAACCAACAACAACTGAAACCACAACACAAATGGAAACATCAACTATGCCCACATCTACATCTGAATCAACGACAACAGCTGGATCAACAACGGTAGATCAACCAACAACAACTGAAACCACAACACAAATGGAAACATCAACTTTGCCCACATCTACATCTGAATCAACGACAACAGCTGGATCAACAACGGTAGATCAACCAACAACAACTGAAACCACAACTCAAATGGAAACATCAACTTTGCCCACATCTACATCTGAATCAACGACAACAGCTGGATCAACAACGGTAGATCAACCAACAACAACTGAAACCACAACACAAATGGAAACATCAACTATGCCGACATCTACATCTGAATCAACGACAACAGCTGGATCAACAACGGTAGATCAACCAACAACAACTGAAACCACAACACAAATGGAAACATCAACTTTGCCCACATCTACATCTGACTCAACGACAACAGCTGGATCAACAACGGTAGATCAACCAACAACAACTGAAACCACAACTCAAATGGAAACATCAACTTTGCCCACATCTACATCTGAATCAACGACAACAGCTGGATCAACAACGGTAGATCAACCAACAACAACTGAAACCACAACACAAATGGAAACATCAACTATGCCGACATCTACATCTGAATCAACGACAACAGCTGGATCAACAACGGTAGATCAACCAACAACAACTGAAACCACAACTCAAATGGAAACATCAACTTTGCCCACATCTACATCTGAATCAACGACAACAGCTGGATCAACAACGGTAGATCAACCAACAACAACTGAAACCACAACTCAAATGGAAACATCAACTATGCCGACATCTACATCTGAATCAACGACAACAGCTGGATCAACAACGGTAGATCAACCAACAACAACTGAAACCACAACTCAAATGGAAACATCAACTTTGCCCACATCTACATCTGAATCAACGACAACAGCTGGATCAACAACGGTAGATCAACCAACAACAACTGAGACCACAACTCAAATGGAAACATCAACTATGCCCACATCTACATCTGACTCAACGACAACAGCTGGATCAACAACGGTAGATCAACCAACAACAACTGAAACCACAACACAAATGGAAACATCAACTTTGCCCACATCTACATCTGAATCAACGACAACAGCTGGATCAACAACGGTAGATCAACCAACAACAACTGAAACCACAACTCAAATGGAAACATCAACTATGCCGACATCTACATCTGACTCAACGACAACAGCTGGATCAACAACGGTAGATCAACCAACAACAACTGAAACCACAACTCAAATGGAAACATCAACTATGCCCACATCTACATCTGACTCAACGACAACAGCTGGACCAACAACAGTAGATCAAACAACAACAACTGAAACCACAACACAAATGGAAACATCAACTATGCCGACATCTACATCTGAATCAACGACAACAGCTGGATCAACAACGGTAGATCAAACAACAACAACTGAAACCACAACACAAATGGAAACATCAACTATGCCGACATCTACATCTGAATCAACGACAACAGCTGGATCAACAACGGTAGATCAACCAACAACAACTGAAACCACAACTCAAATGGAAACATCAACTATGCCGACATCTACATCTGACTCAACGACAACAGCTGGATCAACAACGGTAGATCAACCAACAACAACTGAAACCACAACACAAATGGAAACATCAACTTTGCCCACATCTACATCTAAATCAACGACAACAGCTGAATCAACAACGGTAGATCAACCAACAACAACTGAAACCACAACTCAAATGGAAACATCAACTATGCCGACATCTACATCTGAATCAACGACAACAGCTGAATCAACAACGGTAGATCAACCAACAACAACTGAAACCACAACTCAAATGGAAACATCAACTTTGCCCACATCTACATCTGAATCAACGACAACAGCTGGATCAACAACGGTAGATCAACCAACAACAACTGAAACCACAACTCAAATGGAAACATCAACTTTGCCCACATCTACATCTGAATCAACGACAACAGCTGGATCAACAACGGTAGATCAACCAACAACAACTGAAACCACAACACAAATGGAAACATCAACTATGCCGACATCTACATCTGAATCAACGACAACAGCTGGATCAACAACGGTAGATCAACCAACAACAACTGAAACCACAACTCAAATGGAAACATCAACTTTGCCCACATCTACATCTGAATCAACGACAACAGCTGGATCAACAACGGTAGATCAACCAACAACAACTGAAACCACAACTCAAATGGAAACATCAACTATGCCGACATCTACATCTGAATCAACGACAACAGCTGAATCAACAACGGTAGATCAACCAACAACAACTGAAACCACAACTCAAATGGAAACATCAACTATGCCGACATCTACATCTGAATCAACGACAACAGCTGGATCAACAACGGTAGATCAACCAACAACAACTGAAACCACAACTCAAATGGAAACATCAATTTTGCCCACATCTACATCTGAATCAACGACAACAGCTGGATCAACAACGGTAGATCAACCAACAACAACTGAAACCACAACTCAAATGGAAACATCAATTTTGCCCACATCTACATCTGACTCAACGACAACAGCTGGATCAACAACGGTAGATCAACCAACAACAACTGAAACCACAACTCAAATGGAAACATCAACTTTGCCCACATCTACATCTGAATCAACGACAACAGCTGGATCAACAACGGTAGATCAAACAACAACAACTGAAACCACAACTCAAATGGAAACATCAACTTTGCCCACAACTACATCTGACTCAACGACAACAGCTGGATCAACAACGGTAGATCAACCAACAACAACTGAAACCACAACTCAAATGGAAACATCAACTTTGCCCACATCTACATCTGAATCAACGACAACAGCTGGATCAACAACGGTAGATCAACCAACAACAACTGAAACCACAACTCAAATGGAAACATCAACTTTGCCCACATCTACATCTGAATCAACGACAACAGCTGGATCAACAACAGTAGATCAAACAACAACAACAACTGAAACCACAACTCAAATGGAAACATCAACTTTGCCCACATCTACATCTGAATCAACGACAACAGCTGGATCAACAATAGTAGATCAAACAACAACAACTGAAACCACAACTCAAATGGAAACATCAACTTTGCCCACATCTATATCTGAATCAACGACAACAGCTGGATCAACAACAGTAGATCAAACAACAACAACTGAAACCACAACTCAAATGGAAACATCAACTTTGCCCACATCTACATCTGACTCAACGACAACAGCTGGATCAACAACGGTAGATCAACCAACAACAACTGAAACCACAACTCAAATGGAAACATCAACTTTGCCCACAACTACATCTGACTCAACGACAACAGCTGGATCAACAACGGTTGATCAACCAACAACAACTGAAACCACAACTCAAATGGAAACATCAACTATGCCCACATCTACATCTGAATCAACGACAACAGCTGGATCAACAACGGTAGATCAACCAACAACAACTGAAACCACAACTCAAATGGAAACATCAACTATGCCCACATCTACATCTGAATCAACGACAACAGCTGGATCAACAACGGTAGATCAACCAACAACAACTGAAACCACAGCTCAAATGGAAACATCAACTTTGCCCACATCTACATCTGACTCAACGACAACAGCTGGATCAACAACGGTAGATCAACCAACAACAACTGAAACCACAACTCAAATGGAAACATCAACTTTGCCGACATCTACATCTGAATCAACGACAACAGCTGGATCAACAACGGTAGATCAACCAACAACAACTGAAACCACAACTCAAATGGAAACATCAACTTTGCCCACATCTACATCTGAATCAACGACAACAGCTGGATCAACAACGGTAGATCAACCAACAACAACTGAAACCACAACTCAAATGGAAACATCAACTATGCCCACATCTACATCTGAATCAACGACAACAGCTGGATCAACAACGGTAGATCAACCAACAACAACTGAAACCACAACACAAATGGAAACATCAACTATGCCGACATCTACATCTGAATCAACGACAACAGCTGAATCAACAACGGTAGATCAACCAACAACAACTGAAACCACAACTCAAATGGAAACATCAACTTTGCCCACATCTACATCTGAATCAACGACAACAGCTGGATCAACAACGGTAGATCAACCAACAACAACTGAAACCACAACTCAAATGGAAACATCAACTATGCCCACATCTACATCTGACTCAACGACAACAGCTGGATCAACAACGGTAGATCAACCAACAACAACTGAAACCACAACTCAAATGGAAACATCAACTATGCCCACATCTACATCTGAATCAACGACAACAGCTGGATCAACAACGGTAGATCAACCAACAACAACTGAAACCACAACTCAAATGGAAACATCAACTTTGCCCACATCTACATCTGAATCAACGACAACAGCTGGATCAACAACGGTAGATCAACCAACAACAACTGAAACCACAACACAAATGGAAACATCAACTTTGCCGACATCTACATCTGAATCAACGACAACAGCTGGATCAACAACGGTAGATCAACCAACAACAACTGAAACCACAACTCAAATGGAAACATCAACTTTGCCCACATCTACATCTGAATCAATGACAACAGCTGGATCAACAACGGTAGATCAACCAACAACAACTGAAACCACAACTCAAATGGAAACATCAACTTTGCCCACATCTACATCTTACTCAACGACAACAGCTGGATCAACAACAGTTGATCAACCAACAACAACTGAAACCACAACACAAATGGAAACATCAACTTTGCCCACATCTACATCTGACTCAATGACAACAGCTGGATCAACAACGGTAGATCAACCAACAACAACTGAAACCACAACTCAAATGGAAACATCAACTTTGCCCACATCTACATCTGAATCAATGACAACAGCTGGATCAACAACGGTAGATCAACCAACAACAACTGAAACCACAACTCAAATGGAAACATCAACTTTGCCCACATCTACATCTGACTCAACGACAACAGCTGGATCAACAACGGTTGATCAACCAACAACAACTGAAACCACAACTCAAATGGAAACATCAACTTTGCCCACAGCTACATCTGACTCAACGACAACAGCTGGATCAACAACGGTAGATCAACCAACAACAACTGAAACCACAACTCAAATGGAAACATCAACTTTGCCCACATCTACATCTGAATCAACGACAACAGCTGGATCAACAACGGTAGATCAACCAACAACAACTGAAACCACAACACAAATGGAAACATCAACTATGCCGACATCTACATCTGAATCAACGACAACAGCTGGATCAACAACGGTAGATCAACCAACAACAACTGAAACCACAACTCAAATGGAAACATCAACTTTGCCCACATCTACATCTGAATCAACGACAACAGCTGGATCAACAACGGTAGATCAACCAACAACAACTGAAACCACAACTCAAATGGAAACATCAACTATGCCGACATCTACATCTGAATCAACGACAACAGCTGGATCAACAACGGTAGATCAACCAACAACAACTGAAACCACAACACAAATGGAAACATCAATTTTGCCCACATCTACATCTGAATCAACGACAACAGCTGGATCAACAACGGTAGATCAACCAACAACAACTGAAACCACAACACAAATGGAAACATCAATTTTGCCCACATCTACATCTGAATCAATGACAACAGCTGGATCAACAACGGTAGATCAACCAACAACAACTGAAACCACAACTCAAATGGAAACATCAATTTTGCCCACATCTACATCTGAATCAACGACAACAGCTGGATCAACAACGGTAGATCAACCAACAACAACTGAAACCACAACTCAAATGGAAACATCAATTTTGCCCACATCTACATCTGACTCAACGACAACAGCTGGATCAACAACGGTAGATCAACCAACAACAACTGAAACCACAACTCAAATGGAAACATCAACTTTGCCCACATCTACATCTGAATCAACGACAACAGCTGGATCAACAACGGTAGATCAAACAACAACAACTGAAACCACAACTCAAATGGAAACATCAACTTTGCCCACAACTACATCTGACTCAACGACAACAGCTGGATCAACAACGGTAGATCAACCAACAACAACTGAAACCACAACTCAAATGGAAACATCAACTTTGCCCACATCTACATCTGAATCAACGACAACAGCTGGATCAACAACGGTAGATCAACCAACAACAACTGAAACCACAACTCAAATGGAAACATCAACTTTGCCCACATCTACATCTGAATCAACGACAACAGCTGGATCAACAACAGTAGATCAAACAACAACAACAACTGAAACCACAACTCAAATGGAAACATCAACTTTGCCCACATCTACATCTGAATCAACGACAACAGCTGGATCAACAATAGTAGATCAAACAACAACAACTGAAACCACAACTCAAATGGAAACATCAACTTTGCCCACATCTACATCTGAATCAACGACAACAGCTGGATCAACAACAGTAGATCAAACAACAACAACTGAAACCACAACTCAAATGGAAACATCAACTTTGCCCACATCTACATCTGACTCAACGACAACAGCTGGATCAACAACGGTAGATCAACCAACAACAACTGAAACCACAACTCAAATGAAAACATCAACTTTGCCCACAACTACATCTGACTCAACGACAACAGCTGGATCAACAACGGTAGATCAACCAACAACAACTGAAACCACAACTCAAATGGAAACATCAACTATGCCCACATCT